AAAAAAAATTAATAAAAATATTTGGTGCCATCTTAAGGCCCACCATATTTCGAAACAAACACGTCCTAAACGACTGTACCATACACTTCTTTAAAGCTGTAATCAACCAACTAAAGCAGCAAAAACAAACATCTTGAAAGAATTTGGAAGGGCACTGGAGAGAGAGAGGGACCTTTCGATTCATGTCTAATATTAACAAGATGAGCAAAAACAACTGCAGACAAAGATTTAGTGATGAACAGATTAAGTCACTGGAGATCACTTTTGAGACGGAGTCGAGGCCAGAGCTACGCATGAAACAGCACTTGGCTAACAAACTCGGGCTGCAGCCTCGACAGATCGCGATATGGTTCCAGAATAAAAGGGCTCGATCGAAGTCGAAGGAACTTGAACGGAAATATGACGTGCTTAAAGCGGATTATGACAAGTTGGCTTCCCAGTTTGAATCCTTGAAGGAAGAGAACCAAGCCCTGTGCATCCAGGTACTATCGCATGCTATGTTTGGTAAGGTGATTACACAGTAGTAAAAAATAAAAAATAATCTTTATCCAATCTACGATCAAGTACCATTCACCAAAACGTTTTATGGAAATTCAACAGTGTCTTGTACATTTCTACATTGCAATTCACAAGATTCTATGATCACCAGCTGCAGAGACTTAAACTGGCTGAAGGTACGAGTGTCCAGCTATATGAAAACAAAAACATAAAGATGGAAACTTTAGAAAAGTCAAGGTTTCTACTAGAAAACAGTGGCCATGATCTTGGCATGCCCTTGTGCAATGATTTTACTAGAAAGTTTGACTACTTGTGGGAAGAAGCTGATGATCCGGACTTAGCACAAATGGCTGACTGTTACTTAATATCGAAAGAACCCAGTAGCCTTATCGACAATTCCAGTTACAGTGGACATGGTGGTCGGGCATTTGAGTTTTGAACTCAAGATCAGGGACAAACATAAGATCATCGTCATAGAAGCACATCTGTCTCAAATATCCAAATAGCAATTTGATGCAATATTAGAGATTGATTTATATATTAATTGAAGTTTCAACCATGTCTCTGGAGTCGAAACAATGATGAATGCAGAAAAATCAAGATAAACAATCTACAGCTCATCAAGAACCTGTTCAACTTAAATTACTATAAATGTATAGAGGCAGCAGATAGAAAATTGAGATGTTATAAAACAATATTCTTGTCAGGTTTTCCCGTGCCTTCTCCATTCCCTTGCCTGGTTGACCATTCACAAATCCCAACAGCTAAATAGCTATAATGATATTATGTATCTAATATGATGTAAAACATTCTGGCATTTGCAATAGTTTATTCCATTTCATTACAGTATACATGGAGGAGATAANGTCAAGAATTATCAGAAGACTGGAAATGAATTTTGACATACAAATCCAAAAAGACTTTGACTAAGTCAATGATCAAAATAATCGCTCAACACTACTTTTACTAATGCAATTTCACCTGGGCAAGGTTTTAATGATGTAAACATATTTATAATGTGAACATCTTTACAGTCATTGTTGAAGATCAAATGTTGATGTGCAATGATTCACATTTGTGCTTTTCATTTTGAAGTATCAAACATTTTCACATTGGTCTTTGATAAAAACACACAAAAAAAAAAAAAGCATCATACAGGCGCTACCAACACAGCTCCTATAAGGTTCCTATAAACAATTCGTTCTCTTTAGCCTATATTTTGCTTTAAATCTCGTATTTAGATGAATTCCAGACATGTGATGATCCAACAAAGTCGACATATTACACATTATAGTCCCCGTTTGACTTTCATTAATTTTCATTCCATTACATTTCATTTTTCTTTCTCATATTTTCAACCACACAATTTTACATAAAATAATAGTACACGTAAATCGAAAATTTATCATTCTTTTTAGGCTGCGGTTGATTTGACGTTTTTGGGCCATTTTTCGTTTTCCGTTTTCAAAACACGAAAAACATGTTTGTTCCATCGTTTTCGAAAATGCATTTTCGCATTTTCGAAAACGAGTTAAAATCTATAACTGAAAATGCAAAAAGACTTTTTATCATTTTGAGCGTTTTCAGTTATAAATTTCCAAAACACATAAAACGCCCAAAACGCGCCGTTTTCAAGAAAAACTAAAAATCATTTTGAAATCGAAAATGAAAAATGGAAAACTAAACCAACCGCAGTCTAATATTCCACTCATTTTCGTTCCCACAAAATGGGGACAAACAGGACAGAAACTATGGATCAACTTTGTCATCTCCACTTCGTAAGAATTACAAGATTACCCCAATTGACACGTGAAAATTGTTCACTTATTCAAGTTAAATTTAGGGACTAAAATGCAAACAAATTTTTCTCAATTATTTTCCTCGTACCATAATACACGCAGAGAAAAAGGCAAGTACACGTCGATAGGGTTCCGTGTCCCCCAGAGACGTGTCTCATTGCCATTGGGTCGAACAGGACAGCAAAGCTTGGCCTTGACCTGGCCTATAAATCCTTCAACAAATGCCCAGTGGGAACGCGTCAATCTGTGTGACTAAATGTTAGATCCTTTTCTATGTTCACACAACCTTTATATCAAATCGAATTTCTGTCCTTGTCAATGCGACTTATTCCCACCCTCATATTATGAATATTAGATTGTACTCATATTTGGTTTTTCACTTACTTTTGTTCTTCCCGGGGATGTCCGGTGTATTTATTTGTTATATTTGTTTGTGATTTTTTCGGGAATATCCGGTGTACTTATACATGAAACGTTTTTTATCAATACATTTACATTTATCGATAAAAAAAAATATTAGATTGTACTCGTTAAATGATATAATTTGCATTACAACTATTGTACAAGGGAGATTTTACAAATGCTTGANAAGGAGGGACAAAAAATGATAAAAGAAATAGCTAACGTGTATTCAGTTGAGTTCAATAAGCACAAAATGTGAGATCTTATTCACAAGCGTTAAAGAGTTAGAACACATTTCCCAAGATTCAATAAGTAGTTTGCTCTAGTTTGCAATCTACATAACTTAAAACACCTTCAAACTCATAATGTATCAACCTTAGCTTGTATTACAGCTACTCCATCTAAATATCCCAGGACTATTTTTTAATCAAAGAAAACATCTCTAAAACAGTTAACCATGAGCTCCATCTTCGCAGATAGTGCACAAACATTTTGCCGTTCATATCTTGCATATAACAGTTAACAAACATGCACGTTAAAGAAGTATTGATGCTAATATCTCATTGTAGATGTTGCAAGCTGTTTTATCTTAACAACCAGATAGGCATTGTGTTTTCAGATTGAACTTATAGACCCCGTTTGGCCCATTAAATTAAATTTTATTTTTCTTTCTCCTACTTTCAATCACATCTTCCATAAAATAATATTACACGTCGAAAAATTTTCCTTCTTTTTCAACCACTCATTTAAAAAAAAAAAAAAAAAAGAAAAAAAAAATACTACTCCACCCATTTTAATTTGAAAAAATGGGGGTCAAATGGGTGCTTGTCATAATTCAGTAGCAGAACATTCATCTGACTTTTTAATATGATTTTAGACAAGGTAGAGAATTATCACTTAAGTTCCAATATGGGCAAACAGAATAAGACTCACTTTATATTTCTATGTTTTTTGGGAAGGAATACCTCCGTCTCTGAAGCGTGTTAGAATTTTACAATTTAATCCTTCTTTTCAGAAAACTCAATTGTATGAGGTCCTCCTTTTCACCTTATATTCTTTTATCTGAAAAATATTTCTGTAGGACTCTGGTCCACACTGGACTGACGTTAATGAATTTTGTTTTCTTACATCTAAAAATTAATATAACATGTTCATGTTGTAAGCAATTGTTTTGTGTAGTTTTTGGTGTCTCCATTCCTATTAAAATCATCATCACTTTCACAACTTCCTATACGAGATACTAGAAACTCGAAACTAATGTTTTCTCATTCGGTTTCATATAATTATTGTCTTACAAACCCATGAAATAAGTCTATATTAATAGCCTTAGAGTGTCAAATTCACAACCAAAAAATATTACCAAATAATATTACATTTCGTCATCTGTTTCCTCTTCCTCCAAATACAAAATATAGGCAAGACCATGACACCCTGTAAACTGTGTTGGTCCAATATCTCAGAGATAATATTACCAAATGAAGAAAGAAAAGGTCCCAAGATGAAATAGTATGAAGGCGACTCTTTTTTATTTTTTGTTTCCTTTGAAATATAAATATTCAGCCGCATTTAACTGACTTTGCACTCAAGTGATAATGTGTCTCGAACTTTAAGATAGAAACACCACTTCTTAGACTTTCAGATCCACGTTCCTAATATTGCTATAGACCAGCTTTCAGCAAACTGTAAACTATCAGACCATTTCTGATCCACGTTTCTAATGCTGCAGCAAGGACAACCTGTTAGCAATCCAAGCCATCTAAATATTAGTTCTTCTTCTTCATCTGCATGTATATCAACCCTTTTCAAAGAAAAATCTAGTCTCGTGTGCTAAATTACATAACTATGAACAGTGATGCAGTAATGAAACTACGATTTATAATGCATTCCTTGAGGTTAATTCCCAGAACCAAGAATTCTTAACATTTCATGCTCTCAATGGCTTATCGCATAGATTTTGGGATCTCAAATATATTGAAATTTACCAAAATTATCTATGATAATAAAAGTAAATGTTTTAGCATGGTGTGCGCCTTTATAAACTAAGGAAGTTGGAATTTCTATAACTTAATATAAGAAGAGTTTATCCAGTCAGAACTTTCATCAATTGTCATGATTGAAAAAAGTAACTGAAAAGATAAATATAACTTGCAGAAGCTCGACGTTTCTCCCTATAAGCTTCGACTTCAACAGGAAAAGCCTGTTCAAGCTCCTCGAGCAGGTGTCATCGTAAACTCTGCATCACACAAATAAAAAGATTATTCTACTTATTTCTCATTTATATGTAAGACATTCAGATGCCCTATGTTGTGTGAATATGACACAGAGAGAAAAAAATATACTTATGCTGAAAACACAAAAAGCTTTTATGCAGACGTTGCAAATTACTATGAGTAACTACAGAACTCAGTGAGGGATCAAGGTATTTTGAGTTGACATCCTTTGCTATTGTTACTCAGTTGTGAGAAGTATTCAAAATAAGCCAACAATTAATATGTAAATGAAGAATAGATAAATGGTTGGTAGAGGCATCGTTTTAAGATATTGACACTTATGTTCAGATTTCTATCAATTTTTGTGTAAAGTGTAACTCGTGTTTCTCAAAAAATACGACTCGTTTAATTTGCTAATCTGGTTGGAAGGCCACATGAAAACCCCGGATAGGCTCTAATGTGTTCACTTGAATTGTGCTTCTTTGTGAGGTTGCTGGACCGTTGGATTCAATCGACGACTAAGATTAATCTACCCCACTATGAGATTCTTGGGGAGCTGGATAGTTGAGGCCACTTTCACTTTTTCTTGGTCTCTGGATTTTTCAAGTTTCTCTCTCTAGACTCTCAGTCTTCTTCTTTTGGTTTCTTCGATCTTTGATCTCTTATAAATTTTCCAGCCAAAATATTGGTTGAATCTATGTGATTCATGTTGATACAGTAAACATGCCTACAATAGTAGTTGATTGGGTGTCTGTAGTGGTTGCCTGAAAGTCTTGTTCGTGTTTTTTGTTAGGTTTTGAGATTTAAGAGATCCATGTGTGGATTGATGACTATTTCTGGGTCTGATTGAGTTTTCCAGATATGTACTCTCTGTTTTGGATGGTTTTCATGTTCTTAGTAATCGGGCCCCCCATATTAGGCGATTACCGAACTGGGTGAACAACTTTATGGTGTTCTTTTACATTTTCTTGCACTGTGTTTGATTTTTTAATTACTGTTTTCTTTAACTGTACGAAAAAAGAACTCTAACAACAGGTATCAGAGCCTTCGAGCTCACTGGGGTTGCAAGTCTTTTGAACAAAAAATTGTTTGAGTCAAATTTTTTTTGGTTCAATTCTTCTTTAGGGGGTTCAAGTTTTTTTTAAACAAAAATCACTTGGGGGTTACTTGTGTTAGATCAATTCTTTAATATAAATTGAAAGATCTAATTCTTGTCGCTTTTGTGCTGTTGTTTGGAAGGAAAAAACTTGGTGAAAAGTGGTGAGTTCACCACGGATTACTCCCAGTAAAGGAGGAGTTCCAATCCTCGGGTTGAGACTAGCTTAGTGTTCTTGTTACTGTAAAGGTAGTATATGGTGAGAATGTTTTGATTTTCAAGCGTCTGTAGAGTAATTTCAATTCTTGATATTTGATATGAGATATATGCATGTGACACATGTT